ACCCCACCGTCATACCCTCCTCGAAACAGACTTCCTCGGCTATGCGCCCCGCCCCACCGAGCACGCCGAAGAGCTGCAAGGAGCCGAAGTTTTGCCAGCCTTTCAATATGCATGGAACGAGGTGATAGAGCCTTAGCTATATTTGTTTCACTTCTTATCTCTTCTTGATCTATAGGTGACCATTTTGTGTAATCAATACGGAGTTTGCTCCAACTTGATGAAGCCTCCCGCGAATCGGCCAGGAAATAGATACGATCCCTCTGTCTCGGGAACTCAATCCAAATCAAGTCCGATGCTTCTCAACTGCCATCGGTGCCGCTTGAAAGCAAAAGGCTTCGACGCCAGTGGCTCCGGAGAGCAATGAGCATTGTGGTTTTTTTGTCTCAGGCTCTCTTCCGTTCTGTATTGCATCTTGTCGGCCCGAATCATGACTGATCTCAATCCTCCTGCTTCTGGAGACCCTCGCTGTCCGCTGTCCCTCGTGTTACGCTTCTGTTACGTTTTGGCCTGTGCCGCCTAGTCTCTCCTTCGGATGCCAACCGGTTTTGCTCTGTGAATAGCTGGATATTCTCGGTGTAACGTGGTGGAGCCGCCATCCGGGCGTTTTCCTAAAATAAAACTGATCGGTTTGAATGGCTGCCTTCCATTCATATGCCATCTTATGGTTCGAGATGCGGAATATCTATCCGGGAAAGCACCCACAACAGTCATGCTACCCAGCTGCTGTTCGCCTACGGTCCGTGATTTTTCTGGTGAATTTTCATCTCAGGCTGGCGCAATAGACAGCTTCTCGCCTCATTAGACATTCGGTGCATTGGTTGACCGTGCGACACAATCACGTTGGACGAATTCGGCAGAGCCATCCTGAAGTGCGAGGAGACGCCTCTGATTGGAGGATCGCGCGCAATTGACACAATATTTGCTTATTCTTCCCTGGTCCCTCATTCGCATATGATTGACCACAGAACGATCTCTGGGGATTGAATGTCGTTCCTGAGGGGTTTCTTGGCGGCCCGCAATTTCCAGCGGCCCGGCGTTGAAGTCCATCCTTGTTATGAAGTGCGTTTGATATTCTTCGGTCATGAAGCCTTCGCGCAGTATAAAATCGAATGCTGTGGATATCCAACGTCAGCTCCGGCCCCCCTACTTTAATGAAGTCCGCTTTATTCGTCCTCGCTTTGGTTGTTCTGTCGGTGATCCAATCCTGCTATTCAGAACATTGTTTGATTCTTTGTGCCAGCTGTGCCCATCAACACAGCCTTACGACTTCTTCTCACCACCACGACTGGCTCAACGTCGCGCTTCACCCCGAATCCTATGCACCGTAACGGTGCACATCTTCCTTGGCCGGCGCACCGGAGCCTGTCCTCGCAACCCGCCCAGCCGCCCTCGATACACGCCTTAGTCCACCCCGTCTCTCTGGACCGACGCTAACATCTTCGGGCGGCAGCAAGCTTGGTTGCGCAGGTGCGTTCTTTTCCTTCCTCTTACAACATCGCGAGGTACGAGTGAATTTGTTGTAACGCCTGTTTATAAGAGACTAGACCTGCTTGCCCCCCAACCGGCCAATTCAATAACAGGGATCAAATGGAAGTGAAGGTGTACACAGGGAAGCCCTACCCTCGTGCACGCGACACCCAAACGCCCACAAATGATTTAATTTCCTGCATGTGGTCACCAGACCCGGACATCGGGTGTATGCATACCATCCACCAGTGGGTCCCCCAAGAAGCCCCACCGTTTATTACGCCGTCCGTGTGTCAGTTCAATTCCTTGGCCCAAGTAAGCCACTGCCGGGTAGAGTTGATTAAACTACGGTGCAGCTCTGCGGGATTCCCATGAGAATGCGGCACTTTCCGGTGTTCTCGAACCGTGAGAATTCTAGACCGATCAGAAGTTCAACCCATTGTAATGGAAGCTACAGTTATAATCAGCTTCCTTCCTTCTTTCCGCCATCCCATGTACTGACTAGTTTACGGACTGGGTCCTGTTTGTCATCTGAAACGTCGGTGGAGCTCGGTGGACCTGCTTCCTTGACCGGCCACCATTTTCTTCGGGGTGCATACTGGTTGAAAGCTCCATCCCAGGATATAAAACTCACACTCCAGCGCTTGAAAATTTGGATAAATAGTGATCCAGAGTAGTAGCGTCCGTCCAGTCAAATGTTTCCCCCCAGTGTCCTCACTCTTATCGGTTCCTTCATCCTTCCAGGTACTTACGTGCCATCATACTATGGCAATCCAATCTAACATCCGCCAAGTTTTCGCCCAGTGAACTGAAGCTTGTGGCTCCGAGTCAGGACTATGCTTCAACCAGGCTTTTGTAGGCTTTATTACCGTGGTTGTGTTGGGTGCTCACATTTCAGATAGGATGCTGCTATAGAATCCACATTCGGTTTTGTTCTGCCCCCCGACGGGACGACTTCATCGCATAGGTTACAACGTCGCTGCCGTATGGCTTTGTTAGGTTTGGCATTGGAAACGGGAGCCGTTAGTCCACATATCCCAGTTTTCAAATGATGATGCTACATATGTATTCTTTCTACGCAGGCAGAGCTTGACCGTGTTTATGACTCGGTTCACGGTGTGAGTTTATTATTTTTTGATCTCCCTGTACAATATTGACGGTTTCCAGGCCAGGTCCTGTGGGAACATTCCAATTCGCTATGCTCGCACAGCAAGCTGTACTTTCATTGGTTTTATTGTTGCCAGGGTTAAACGCTTCTGATTGGATCATTACAGGAATGATAACACCCAGTTAACGTTGGTTCCGGCCGCCTCGACCGGGGTTGTGTCCATTTCGACTCTTTCTACTTGGAACGCGACGGCCGCCACCTTTATTTTCCGTTGCCAAAACTGTTCTCTTGCGTCGGCTCAAGATCAAGGCGTGTCCGGCGCATTTAACCTTGTGGTGTTTCAGTCCTACGAGCTTCCAAATTATCCAACTCCCAATGCCTTGAATGCTTCTCTCAGGCGATAATAAGCGGCTTCACGGTAACCAATATAGCTCCACTGACGAGCACGAGTTACGACTTATTTCTGCATGCGGCCGGTTTCACGTAGTATATATACATACATATATATTACGCCCAGTACTCTACAAGTGTTCAACAGATTTGTATTCGTATGTACTTACCAAGATTTCAACCACGTCTCACGGTCAACATGATTCCGGTGATGTCCTCTTCTCGAGGCTGTGAAAGAATCACCACCACTGGAGCAATCAACAGGTGACCTTGATTGATGTCAATGTTCTTTATGCAATCCGTCGCCCACAAGTCTCAGCTTCACTACCATGTCGACTGCCCGGCCTAGAGTATGGCTAAGTGAGTTTATTTTTTGCTTAATTTGTTGCGCACCTACCGTGGTTTTATAGTCACGGGTGCTTCATCCGGCTTCGGTCGCGCTGTGACGGAGGTGGTCCTCGAAAATAACGAAATCGTGGTAGCAACATTACGTCTTCCCCGCGACCTTGACGACCTCGTTGCCGCCCACACCGATCGGCTCCTCGTTACCAAATGCGATGTTACGCAGCCGGAAGATATCCTCACCGCATTTGCCGCTGCCGTCGAGAAATTCGGACGCGTGGATGTTGTGCTCAACAACGCTGGTTATGGGATCGTGGGTGAGGTCGAGGCCACGCCGGAGGATGCTGCGCGCGCATTGTTCGACGTTAATTTTTGGGGGGCAGTGGCAGTTAGCAAGGAGGCAATTCGGGTGTTTCGCGATGTTAACCCCGGGAATTCTGGTGGCCGTTTATTGAATATCAGCTCTGGCATGGGATTTGGCGGGGGCCCGATACTTGGAATTTACGCTGCCAGGTGCGTGTTGAAATAGTATCCGAAATTGAACCTCAAGTCTTGACAGTAAACATGGTAAGCAGCGATCTATATGAGGGATTTCACTGACGTATTGAGAAGCCTTGGAGGGGTTTACGGACTCGCTACGATTGGAGATCAACCCGGCGTGGAATATCAAAGTCAGTGATTGCTCCTCGGCGTCGCATCACATCGTTGAACCCGCGCAGATATCTATTATCGCCCCTGGAGCATTCAAAACTCGGGCCCACACGACAGGGATGGTCACGTTCCCTGCGCCTGAAGCCTACAACGGTGAAGAATTACCGTCGCAAGTGATTCGTCGGTGGTTAGAAGACGGATCTGGCATCCGTGGAGATCCACTGTTGGCGGCCAATGCCATTTTTCGATTCTCTATGTTGAATACTCCCCCGGAACGGTGGGCGATGGGTAAGGATTCAGTTGGAGGGGTGAGGGCCAGGATCAAGCGTGTCGCTGAGGAAACCGACGAGTTTGAGAGTTGGTCAGAAAATCTGCAGCTCATTGTTTAACTTGTTCTACATAGTAAGCCGCCTTGTGAGCTTCGAATGGAACTTTTTATAAATGGGATCGGACCGGAATATACGTATCTATCCGAGAAGCGGTGGGATGCAGAGTGCTGGAGCTGATAGTGCGGTGAATCAGTAGTGATTGAGTGATCGGCAACCATTTCGGCATCGTAAGCTCCTTCAGCGGTTCAACTCAATCTTGGAACCATTAGCTCGATGCTGTGCCACTCTTTTAATATCCACACCAACTCATCACCCCTATTGGACTTTTCAAATTCGGCCTTAGTGTACATTTCGGTTGAAGTCAGACCCAAATTCGGCCTTACTGCATGTAGGCACACTGTTCATCTGGCGGGTCACGCTCAGAATTGCGGCGAAGTCGTGCTGAAACTCAGAGGATAGTCAAGGTTCCAGAATTTCAACGCGAAGCCGAGATGAAATCCGGCCTTTGTGATTTTTTCTTCAAAAACACTTACATTCCCGCCTTCGATCGGACTTCCGCCCTCGCTTCACACCCATGTAAGTACTCATCTCAACTATCCGCTATCCACCAAATTCCCACCCCTATCGGACTGAGTGCGACTAAGTTACTAACTCCTCGACGCCTGTCGAACCTCCAATTAGTCATTATCTCTTCCTTCACTACTTTTCCTATAGCATTGGTGGGGTAGTGGTAACCTGGGTCGTTGCCACAGTTCGGATTCGTAATAGGATTCGACCCGCCGGGGGTTCGATTCCCTCCCAATGCATATTTTTTTGTTGACTTTGTTTTGTTAACGAGGATGTTCATAGTCTTTTGCAACGCGAACAATTGTAGAATCACTGCAGTGGGAACAGTTACAACATCCAGCGTCGTGCTCAAGCGGAAAGTGAAAGTTAGTCGTCAGGTCTACATATCTTTCATTGATGACAGTATCGCACACAGCGGAAGCCCTCGAGCTGAAAACGGCTGCAGGGGAGAAACTCTCGTTGGAATTCGATGATTTAACCAAGCTACAAAAACTCAAAACTAGTCGTGAGTCTTACTTATTACTCTCTATCAACTCTGGAGGACGGGGTGTCGAGGCGAGGCGGGGAGGCCGTCGTCGTTGTAGGAGACGACGAGAAGGAGAGGTGGCTTCCGGGCCGAACGACGCCTGGTCACGTGATCACCGTCGATCGCTGTAGCCACTTGCGACGCGAGTTGTGAAGGACACGACGACGCGACGCAATGCGTTGAGGCGTCAGCGCGGCCGGAGGTGGTATTGACGGTGGGTCTTGGGGCACGCATCTGGAGTGAAGAAATAGGGACAAAAAAAGGTATTCACCACCGCGCTTTGCAACGTCCTGGCTGGGAAGCCTGACAGAAGACTCCAGCCAGGCAACAATTGCAAGCGAGGCTGGTGAGCGGAGGGGACAAGGTGGTGGTTTAGGACCGACCTCGCCAAAGTGAGTACAAACATGTAGCCCCTGCTTTATACAAACACGTCGCGTTGATGATCATGTGACTGAGTCGCGCCCACGGTTGCAAAATTTCCGCAATGCGGCCATCTGCCTGAATAATTCTCCGTTGGATGTAAGGCCCGGGGAAAGGGCAAGCGGTGTCTGCGCGTTGATGCTGAATGTGTGTTTGAATGCAAAAAAGTCTCCAAAAACAAAAAGCGACAGCGGTCTCAAACCCACGACCTCACGGAAACACCGGTGGAATGCCGCGTAACCAGCTGGGCCAGGGCGGCGATGAGAGAATGGGGAACGCGGTTATTGAATGATGAGCTGGGCGGTCACGTGTCGGTCTCGCCTAGGGCTCAATCGCCGCGGATCACGGCAACGGGCATCGCTCCGCTCGCTCGCACATGGCTTCGCCATGCTCGCCCCCAGCTCGCAGGGCTCGCAGCGTTCGATCCGCCTCGGTTTCGCCTCCGGCTCAACCGACACGGATCGAACCCCTTGATCGCCGCCCCGCCGGGGGTTCGATTCCCTCCCAATGCATATTTTTTGTTGACTTTGTTTTGTTAACGAGAATGTTCATAGTCTTTTGCAACGCGAACAATTGTAGAATCACTGCAGTGGGACCTCTCAGTTCTCGCACGATCACTAATAATACCAAATGAAAAGGGCCTCCATATTGATGTCTTCAGTAGTAGGTGCAACATGGTGTTGTCAAAGCCGTTTTCATGCTTACAAGTGCTTGCTGGGGTGCTCGCGCCCCGGCAACCCCTTGGCTTACTTCATCACTGAAGGAAGAACACATGTCCAGAAGGGGTTCAGCGAAAGACCTGTTTATAGCACATTATTTGTCACAGTCAAGACTTCACGTCCAACTCTACAAGAGAGCGGATTGGGGAATGCGAGTGGTTGTCTCGAAAAGATGATCGAATAAAAGACTAAAGAATACAGGCAATAACTACACTGCTTAAATACTGTTCTATGAACCGTGTGAACTACAATATATTTATACTGTACAATAGCCCGTAGTCGTGTGTGGGGCTACACCTGTCATAAGTTAGGAAAACCTTTTGTCGAACGTCCCATAGCAACATGTCCTATTATCCCCGAGCGTTTCATCTATACATATCCCTGACATCATCGTTCCGTTCCGATCCGTTCCGGTGTCACGTGTCCTTTGGCGTTTATGTCTCAGCGCTTAGGTTCGGTGTTGTCACGTGGAGATTGGTATCAAAGCGTGACATTACCCCCCCTCTAGGATCAACGTCCTCGTTGACTTCAATGAACATGTTGGACTCGGGAATAAATAATTTCTTCGTCGAGTATTGCAAGGACTCCTCCTTATGCTTGTATCTCTTGATTAAATAATCCCAATGTCCTTTCGGAAAGATCGGGAGTGCACAAATATTAATACCGTGATCCTTGTTATATTTATCAAGGATCTTCTTGACGTGCGTCAAATGACGCCTGGGTTCCCACGTCCTCTCCCCGAGAGGATAATTCTTCCACTTGATTAGATATTGGAAGCCTCTGCCGCGTTTGCGGTGCTTCAATATCTCCTCCACCTCGTATTCCTCGTGGTCCTGCACAATCTGAGGTGCCGGCCTCTCTTCTCTACGTCCAATCGGTGGCTCGATATAGGGTGTCAGCAGTGCCTCGTTGAAAACCGGATGTGACTGGTCCGTTTCAGGCAATCTGAGCTCGTATGCCGAAGCTCCGATCTTCTCCAACACTTTGTAAGGTCCCAGCCTTCTGTCATCAAACTTCTTGGTTGGGCGATCTGTGGTGATATTTTCGGCTTCCAGCCACACCTTATCGCCGACCCTGAAGTTAGGTGCCTCGCGCCTATGAACATCATAGTATTTTTTCATGGTTTTCTTGGTTTTTTTCAGCGCTGCTGCTGCCTCGTCGCGGATCTTTTTCATTTTCTCAGCAAAGTCGTTCGCGGCTTCATTGCGTGATTCAACTGCATTTTCTATCCCCTTCCAGGGATGGTATCCCGTGTTCACAAAGAATGGCGACATGCTCGTCGACGAGCTTTGTTTATCATTGTGAGTGAACTCGGCCAAAGCGAGCCACTCTGCCCAATCCAATTGGCGATAATTTACGAAAATGCGGAGATATTTCTCTATCTCCTGGTTCATGCGCTCCGTCTGTCCATCAGTGATCGGATGGAAAGCCATACTCGGGTTCATCTTAATCCCGAGGAGCCGATTAAGCTCCCTCATGAAGCCGGAGACATATCTCGGATCCCGATCCGAGATTATCTTCCGCGGTACACCGTGATATCTAATCACGCAATCCCGGGTCAACCGGGCCATTCCTTCGGAGGTCAACTCCATATTGGTTGGTTCGGCGTGGATCATCTTCGAGAATGTATCCACCCAAACTTGAATAGCATTAAAGCCGCTGCTGAACAGCAGTGGCCCGATGAGATCCTCCAATATGACCTGCCAGGGTCCTTCCGCAATCCCGTGCGGATTCAGCCTTCCTTGCTTATATCGGTGGACTCGTGTACGTTGGCATGCCTCGCATTCCTTGATATAAATGGAGACTTGGTTGCCAAGCCTCGGCCACCAATAGTTTCGTTCAATCAATTCCTGCGTGCGGTTCTCTCCAGGAGGACCGACCAGGATGGAGTCATGGTGCAAACCAATGATTTTATCGTGGAGTTCCTTATCAAAAGGAACATAGATCAATCCGTTGTAATAAATAACGTCTTCGATCTTTTCCCATCCAGGGAGCTTCTTCTCAAGTGCCAGCTTGACACTCTTATCTACGCGCTTCGTGGCCTTGATCTGTGACGTGATCTCGGCCTCCGGCCCTTCCATAACGATCTCCTGAGATCGGAAGTATTCCGGCTTGAGAAGGACAATGTTCTCATTGTCGTTCTTCCCTTGATCATGATCCGCCCGGCGGGATAATAAATCAGCTTTCTTATTCAAGGCCCCGGCCCGATGGGTAAGCGTGAAGTCGTATTCGGATAGTTCTACTATCCATCGTGCCTGCCGCCGATTGACTTTCTGCGGACTCTTGAAATACTGGAGATTCTGGTGATCCGTCAGAATCTCGAACGTTTCCCTTGCGCCCATCAAGAGCGATCGCCACTCCTCCAATGCGAGCATTATCGCGAGCATCTCTTTGTCATAGATCTTGTAATTTCGCTCCGTCTCATTGAGTCCGTGGGATTTGAACGCTATCGGCCTCCACCCCCCCTCTTGCTCCTGACTGAGCACAGCTCCAGTCGCTCCTTCTGATGCATCGGCTTCTAGCCGGAACTTTCCGTGGTCCATGGGAAGTGCCAAAACTGCGTCTTCGGCAATCCAGTCCTTTAGCTTCTGGAACGCAGACTTCTGTGCTTCTCCCCAGGAGAAGCCTTCCTTCCCGGTTAATCGTGTGAGTGGCTTGGCCACCTCACTGTAACCTCTTATGAACCGGCGATAGAAATTTGTGAATCCTAAAAACGCCTGCACCTGCTTAAGGTTTTTGGGTTCCGGCCACTGCTATATCTGTGCACTCCGGCTCCGGTCACACTCCGGTCACGCTATAGTCACACTCCGGATCCGGACCCTCGGACCGATCCGGGACCAACCGGAACACTCCAGAACTTCGGGTATTTATGTCACGACGCTTTACTAAGTGTTTCTCCAGTTTATCCGTTTATCCGAGGTTCCTTTATTGTCTTTAACATTGCTTTACTTCTCTGTCCCCATTTGGATAGTGGCTTATTGTTTTACGCACTGGTCACATTACTTATCCACATTTAGGACTACAATTACAGACTTTAGTATATATCTGTCTTAGCCACGTCCAGTACTTCATCTGGAAAATTAACGTTGTTCCATGTTTCCCTTCATGGACTGAGTCTATTCTTTCAATCCTTGTCTTCAACTCGACTCCGAGGTTACCCTTAAGCCTCTGGACGTTCTTTTCGCACTTCGACTTTATTTCCAGTCCATTTCCGGTCTTTCCGGTTTCCACACCACTCCGACTCACGTCCTCGTTCCCACAGCTTCTACGCCACTCCGGTTTACCTCCGGTCCGGGCCTTCTGGTCCGGCCTCCCGGAGTAGTCCCAATCGGGCTAGAACCCCATGTTGTGGAGCGTTTCCGTTTTGTCCTGATTTTCGTCCCGGCTCGACACCCAGACAGTCGCACACCCTGCTGAGTTGTGGTGCTTGCGAGAATAGCCGACTATTTCACCTCCAGTCCTGCTCCGGGTTCCGGACGTCTTCCGGTTCCGGACTTCCACGGGACTTCTCTTCCCCCTCTCGGCTCAGTATATAACAGCCACTCGGCAATGCCACGGATCTTAACAGGATCCA